TCATTTTGGAGTAGTGCATCTTAATGGACGTGCAATTAGACATTATTTAGTGCTATTGTGTGCTACACCTTTCTCAGGAAAACAATGTACACTCTTTTATCCGTTATATCCCGTGTTACCGAATTTATATATTACCTAGGTTGGAACCGGGTTCATTTCCTGTTCCAAGTAGAAACTTGCTGGTACTGTATTATTGTGAGAGAGATACAATCATATTGATCACGTTATACTGTTTTTAAAGAGGTGGCACCATAAGTTTTAATTTACGAGTACAATCATAATGAAATTGCACTTATCGATATCGCATTAAAATTTATCTATTGATAAATGTTTAATTAAGGTCTGCATAATTATCACTGTCATATGTTTGGGGAAAGCAACGATCTCGGTATGGTATCGTCATAAAACTTTCGAGTACGGTACTGAGTAAAGTTGCATAAACAAAAGGCAAGAGTGACAATTCTCGCAGTGGTATATTGATAATTTGTTGTAAGGTTTAATAACCATACCAAACTACGCCTTGGTTTCCCGGTGGCAATCAAATAGATGCAACTCCCTCCTACCTCCCACTTTTTAGATCCTATGATTGATATACAAACCGATTGTTGTCAATTTTTTTGCATGAAATATTTGGCATTTGACGTTAAACAAGCAACACGCAACCTTTGAATTTCATGTTGAAAACATTTCGGACGTCTATCAATTTACAGGTGTAACATAAAAGGTAGACAAAAAATAAACGACGAGTAAAGGCATTACTCGACTATGAAAGCCTATGTTTTATATAGCCTAGTTTACCGAGTTGTCTAGGGCGCTGGATATAGTGTATGTAGCGTTACCAATATGTCACAGAAGCATGAGTTCAAATCCCGCTCATCTAAACTTATTTGACCATTGTTTGACTAAATTTAAGAAAAAGGTATATATACATGTATATAAAGCACCGTTTAAATTAATGATTGATTGAAGTTTACAACGAGGTTAATTTAGTGGTATTATATTGATTGGATTTCTTCAGCAGTTTGAGTCAATAGATTGTATATCCTCATTGCAATGTCATAGGATCAATGATATGTAAATACATATGAAGAATTATCTTTCAATTTCAAAGGAAGTATGTTATAAATCTAAATTACATGCTAACATGAAAAAGAACTCGTGGAATATATAAACATACGCTAGCTCATGACTACTTTAAGTTAGCGTACTCATTAAAAACTTTTATCAATATTGACAAAAGAGGGTCTTGTCGGTGTCACATATAAAAAGAAGAAGATTCCAAGGGTGCAATCAAAACATATTAGTTGAAAGAAAGACAACAAATAAGGGACAAAAGAAGGACAGTAGACAGAAGAGTACTGTTGGTGATTCCTAGTATACAATGCTGGATTATTGTACAGTTGTGTTCGGTATTAAGATTGGGTTTACCAAATTACAAGAAGTAACTACTCTCTTTTAAAAGTAACAATTTCTTTCTAAAATATTAGCAAATTGGTGAATTTAAGAATTTTAAGATGAAATCATTTCATTTGAATCATGTCTTTGTTACACTGCTAAAGCTCCTCAGTAGAATCAACTATACTAAGTATATCTTGCTATAATCAGGTCTAAGTTCTTGATCAGGTTTGTAGGACCTTGATAGAAGATAGAACTAGGAATAATAAATTTTTTAACGTCACATTTTCATGTCTTTACAATATGAAGTGTTTGTTTAAGATGTTTTATATTGGATTTGAATTTTCATATAACAAGTAAATCCATGTCGATTGCAACTCGTAAAAGACTTGTCATATTAAACTGGGAATTAAATATGATATTCACCTAGGTTTTTAGCTCATATACATAGCAATACATTTAGGTTACTCCTTATATAATAAAATATTCCTTTGCAACTCTAATACATGATAAATCACTGTAGGTCAAAATTCATATATATATAACAATACACTGAGGGTCATAACTCCTATACATAACAATACACCGAGGTCTATAACTCATATACATAATAATACACTGAGGGTCATAACTCATTATACAGAACAAAACACTGGGGTTCATAACTCTCATGCATAACAAAACACTGAGGCTACCAACTATTTATGCATAAAAATACACTGAGGGTCATAACTCCTATACATAACGATACACTGAGGTCTATAACTCCTATACATAATAATACACTGAGGGTCATAACTCATTATACATAAAAAAAACACTGGCGGTCATAACTCTTATGCATAACAATACACTGAGGGTACCAATTCCTTAAATACATAACAATACACTGGGGTTTTTAATTCCTGAGCATACATAACAAAATACCGAGGTTTATATCTCCTATACATAACAATGCACCTAAACTTATAACTCCTATACATAACAATACACCAAGGTTTGCTACTCCTATAAATAACAATGCACCTAAACTTATAACTCCTATACATAACAATATATCGAGGTTTATAACTCCTATATCTAACAAAACAATTTGTATTTCTAATAATTGGATGGAGAGTTGTCTCATTGGCACTCATACCACATCTTCTTATATCTATGATTTATAATTATTATTATTCCCGATGAGTTTAATAGTGTAATACACAATATATCGTTTGCAATCAAAATGAGGAAGGTTAGTTTGTCAATTACTAGACACTTGCACTTTGATCCTGATCTATGTCTTCGTTGTTCTTTTCGAAGTCATCACATGACGAATATTTAGCCGTTTTGCTTATCTACTAGACACTATGCTACTTTAACAAAAACTACAGACTAAAGGATGGGAGTTGCTATTGTTGTTTAAATTAATCATATAAGTGTTCAATATCAATAACGATAAATGAATATGTCAGATGCCAGTGGTCTCAATTTGTTAAACAAACAATGTCAGTCGTCATGCTAGGATTGTAAAACTTCACTGAAATTTATATTGAAAAAAACATATCCTGTATTAAACTAGAGGCTCTAAAGAGCCTGTGTCGCTCACCTTGGTCTATGTGCATATTCAACAAAGGACATTCTCATACATTGTAGACGAGAATAGAATTGATGACAAAAATTTCCGTTTTGTTGATCATGTATTGCTGATCATTAAGTCTGTTTAGTTTCTCTCTATCTTCTTTAGTTTTTGCTCAAAACACAAAAAAGGGTAAAAAAAAATCCTCATTTAAGGGTAATCACTCATATAAAGTGTGACAGTCTACTAACTATATCGGCAAAATTTGACCTGTTAGTAGATCTATACTTGCTGATCATTTTTGTGATTTAAAGTGTCTATTTATCTGTTATAATTTTTATCATCTAAGGCAAAACGTAAAAAAATTTGTGAAAATCGTCACTAAAGGGCAATTACTCCAATAAAGAGTCGTCGGACGATTTCCTCCATTCGTCTTAATTGTATATCTTGTCTTGATGATCATTTTTGCTTATTTAAGTTTCTATCTATCTATAATAATTTTTAAGGTATAAGGCAAAATCGCAAAAAATTGATAAAAATCGTCATCAAAGGGCAATAACTCTAATAAGGAGTTGACTGACGATTTCGATCATGAGACTTGTTTGTAGAACTTGTCTTGCTGATCATTTTTGAATTCAAAGTTTCTCTCTGTCTATTATAGTTTTCAAAATAATAGGCAAAAATGAAAAAAAGAAAGGTAAAATTTGTCTTTTAAGGGCAATAACTCCTATAAGAAGTCGTCTGACAGTTTTGACGTATATGGACAATTGGTAGAGCTTAACATTCTGAACATTTCTGCTGTCAGGTTTTCTCTATTTATAACGGTTTTCAAAATAATAGACTAAACTTGCATTAAACCCCTATGTTCTATTTTTAGCCATGTCGGCCATCTTGTTTGGCAGGCGGGGTCATCGGATACATTTTTAAAACTAGATACACAAATGATGATTGTGGCCAAGTTTGTTTAAATTTGGCCCAGTAGTTTCAAAGGGAAAATTTTTTGTAAAAGTTAACAGACGACGACGGATGACAACGGGCGACGGACGCCAAGTAACGAGAAAAGCTCACTTGTCCATTTGGGCCAGGTGAGCTAAAAATGAATGGTCGGAATGGGGATGTTGATTCTGATGCCTCGTGTAGGTTAAGAATCACGCTCTCTGGAAGTTAAAGAAACCTTGCAACAAACCTCTGATGGATTCGTAGGTGACTTGTTGAAAGGCAAAATTTCTGCCCTATCCATTTAATTCACATTTTCCAGTGGCAGTGCTAATTTCCCGCTCTTCATCCCGGTTGACCTACCTTGCAGAACCTACGTATTGTATTAATTCGCATTCGTCCTGAACATGCATGAAATTGCTGTTGAACGTAAATCAAGCAACAATCAATCAATCAATCAAACAAATTATTGGGCTCTTAACTTTTGATGCTGCAAAAAAATAACTGATATTGGAAAAAAAACATATCCCGTTTAAAAAAATGGAAATGAAACAAAATTTCAAACTAGATCATTTAACACGTCCAACAAATAATTACTTTTGAAGGATTTTAGTGTAAAAACAAATGCCCATACATTCAGACAAAGGCATGAGTAAATAGACTGTACGTTAAACTCGACATCAAACTGGTTTTTTTTTTTCAATTCACTTCGGGATACAGGGTAAATGGTCTTTTATACTGTCAATGAGGTTTACGTATTTTCAGATTAATATGACTTTCATTGAATGTTAAAGGAAATTTGACAACAATTGTTAAGGGAAACCACTTTCCTTATCAAAAGAAAGGGGTTCAAAAAGATTCGAAAGCATAGTTAATTTTTAAGTGCACATCAGATGATTTCCAAGAAAAAACGTTGCTTTTGATGAAAATAGCGTAACCACTCGTTCTACTGTTATATCATGCTGGTGCAGTACTAAAGGTATAGATCAGCTTTATTTCGCCAATCTTACATGTCAAGCATTATATATTTGTATTAGGTTTATGAAAGGCATGCTGAGTAGTTAAGAAGAATATAATAGTAGAATTTGCAAGCTTGCAAAAAACTCACATTTCATTTTTCTCCGTTTTGTAAATTCTGAGGAAAAAATGATAGAGCAAAAAAACTTGATATGGATTGTATAACTCAACTTATATAATGCATATGTTTGAAAACTTCTCCTTTTCACTGTTTGTGTTGAAATGTTCCTTATTAGTTTCATTCGTGGACTATACTGTATTTGTAATTAGAACTAAATTACATTTCGTTACACATAATGTAACCATTGATTATAACCCACAAAAGAAACGTTCATAATACAATATGAGAACTTAAAGACTTTATGTATTCATATATGGATCAGACATTTCCAAATTTACATGAGGGATTTAAGAAACTACCTTCATTTATAAACTTATGGATGGTCAAAATCATGTGATGAACGAACTTTGATTTTGGAAAATATATATCTTAATTTTGGGATTTCTAAATAAAAAAGAAGTATAATACATTATACGTGAAGGTCTAAGATTTGTAGAGACTCACCGTTTTCTGGTATTTTTATCCGCCGTTTATGCATCATTCTGAGTGTATCTGGTGATAAATTTAAAAGTCTGATTTTCTTGAGTACCGCTGATTTCTGATCTATACTAGAAATTCGATCATATATAGATTTGATCTCAATCTCCATACCAAGCATTTTTTGTCTCATTTCATGTTGTTCGTGACGATTTGTCACAGCTTCCACTTTATATTCATACGTACTATCATTAACACTTTTGAATTCTCTGTCTAAACGTATCTTCTGTCTCTCCATCACTTGTTTATTTTCCTCCAACTTGTCGAGGTAACCATACTCCCGTTCTAAATTAATTCTAAGGTCACTTCGATACCGCGGCGAGACAGGAGTTTTATCTGCTATTTCATCTTTAAGTTGTTGTATCTCTTTATTTTTCGCCTCAATGTCTCTCTCCAACTTCTGAATTTTTAGAATAACTACTTCTAAACTTTGTTTTGCTCGATGTTTTTGTCTTTTATGGTTAGAATGTTCCCGGGCAAGAGTAGCATGTGTTTTTCTTTTCCGTTCTATACTTCCATCAGTGCTTCTAATTTTCTGTCTCAACTTTTCAATATCATCTTCAAGCTTCTCTTTGTAAGAATTATTGAAGAATATGTCCTGCAAAAGTTTGTCCGGATAAGCAGAATCTTCAGCTATCCATTTTTTGGCTGTATGCGAAACTTCAATTAATAGAACACACGTTTCTTCCATTAATTTGGCATGCACGTTTCCTTCTGAAATAAACGTTTCAAAAGGTTTTTTTATTTCGCCATATTCTAGTATAGTTTTATTAATTTTGTCGATTTTTGCATCAATTTCAGTTCTGTATGCATTTATTGCTTCTTCATATTCAAGTACAGGTTGAATTTCCAATTCGTCAGCCTCCTCAATGAAACTTTGGCAGTATTTGTAAAGATGACCACGAGCGCATTCTACAATCATTTCTCTAACACTTGGGATCATCAGTTCATACTCCCTTGCACGTTCACATATATTCATCAAATCTCTGTACGAGTCTTTCTTTCTTAGTCCATCTTCAGTTGTCTTTATTTTATGTTTCTCGAAGAATTCCTTCCACGTAGGAAATTTTGATGGTACAGTTTCCCACACCTCGCACAAATCTTTCAAACATTTTGCACATGCACTGTAATCTATAGCATCTCTGTTTAAATAATGTTTGGCAAATTTACGTATTTGAATACACACTTCATTTACATATCTAATTATAATTCTATATGCCGCTTCTCTGCTTGCTGGTGGTTTAGATTTTCTGGCACGCTTTGATGACTGCATTTTCTATTCATAATCTCAGTGGTCTTCCGAATCTCTAGATCAAGTTCCAATTTGAGCTGACTTTGTTAATCATCTTCTGTAATTTTCCCTGTAATAATACCACAACACTGGCTACTAAGTAATGCATATCTATAAATCAACATATGATGCTTATTTTGATATTCAGTCTTGAATTCTATATTTACTTTGTGTTCAACTCAATCTCAGATATCACATAGCTACCGGGTAAACAAAGCGTTGGTAGTTGCTGGTAAAAACAACAAGTACTTACCAAGCAAGAGAATAATCGTTAGTTTTCAGAATATTTTTAAATTTCCAACGTAACTTCTTCTTTTCTTACTAAAGTCACACACTTGACTATAAATCTGACTATTTATTATTGCTGTGTACCTAAATTGTATTTACTGGCGTTATTTAAAGACATAACTTAGTTACATTTCAATATTATTCCTTTGTTTATATTGATATAGTAGTTTGGTTACCTTTTGTGAAACAGATTCCTTTTAATCTACCGTGAAAAAGCCACACGTCATTAATTTATTGTCATATGTATGTTGAAAAACAATGTGGTATGATTATTGGAATTTTTTACATTGCAACACCTGCGGTGCTTGTATTATCGGAAAGACACACGGCAATCTCTTGTTACTGATATATTGCTTTCTATTGATCCTATTGATCAGAATTATGTATGATTAAGTGAATATATTCCGGTTTTCATTTGGTTTTTTTTTACTGTCGGAGATCTTCTAGGAACTTTTTTGTGCCCCATATTAATCAATCAGCACTGATAGTTTGCAGCAAATAAATGACGAAAACGTTTGCCTCCGAACACAATTTAAATTACTCCGGTGATACATTTGTGTCACAACATAATTGTTATGCGCCAAATTTCACAAACATTTTTATAGTGTTTTTTCTTCAAAACTGCATGGTACACAATCAGTACACATACAACAGATTTAGTATTAAGAGTCATAAACAGTCCGAGAAAAGCATGACATTGTGCAATGTCAAAATATAAGCGCATACTATCGAAGGGATGTTGGATCATAAGTTTTCATAAATGTAAAGCAATACATACTAGTATTTAGTTTTGTTTTAACAAAAAGAAAATTCTTTTTAATACCGTTAAAAACAGTTTTCAAAGATCTTACTCTGGTGTTGGATTGATATCCTTTAAGTAAGTTTAATCAAAGAATAAAGGAGTTTACATTGAACGTATCTAACTTTATGGGCTTTATAAATAGCATTACCTTAAAAATGGGGATGTGATATGCCGTTTTTTTTAATAAGAATTCTACTGGTAGAGCCAAACTTGAAAACCAAATATTTGTATCTTTGAAAGAATTTAGTAACATTTTAAGGTACTTTATGGTAATGAAATCCCTGACTAGTAATTAGTTATACAAAGACGTATATAAAGAAGGCATTGTACCACACAACAGGATGTGTGGAGGATAAAAATAGATTAATGTAATATAAATGTAATGTGATAACTGTTTTTTGTTTTTGCCAAATATATATCACATTTGAAAAAGGACTGACACTGATGAATGTCATTTAGAACATACTCAACCCTTCTCGTTCAATAGGAAATCAGTATTTTTCCTTTTTATTTTTCATAGCAGGAAAAGAGCAAAAGAAATAAAAGAATAGAGTTCCAATGTCCCCCGCCTTGCACATATTTTATCTATCCAAGGGCAATAACTAAGAAAAACATTTTTTTGTTCTTTAAAACTTGTTATTAATATCTTAGAGAAATGAAGGCTACGGTAACGTATAGTTGTTAACTTCTGTGTCATTTGGTCTCTAGTGGAGAGTTGTCTCATCTTCTTATTTTTTATATTGAGAGCAAATAAAATGCAACTTCCAATATAAATAATATTTCCAAGAGCATAACCCTTTTGAAAATAATGCCAGACGCGCGTTTCGTCTTCAAAAGACCCATAAGTGACCCTAGATTATCGGATTAGTTCATTTACAACACATACAAGTAAATTATGGGTGTATAATATTTTCCATAACTTGACTAATTTGTCTTTGATTCTCAGTTTTCTATAAAGTCGACTTGATAACAATCACATGTAATATGTTCTGTTCTGATTCAAAACAATGTTGGGAAAACTTATTGTTTCCTGTCAATGCTGTCATGCCAGACGATAGAGATTCATTTATTTTTAATTAACAGCCTTTAACCTATATGTTAGGAAAAGTATTAGGCATTCTGTTTTTACCAGAGGATATTAAAATTTAGATTTCAAAAATCAATCTCCATTATATTCAGTAAAGATTTTCAAAACTTTATTTACTATAAGGTTATCTATTTTCTTGTAAATGATTCAACATTTATAAGACAGTATAAGAAGCTTTTAACGAATTTCACCAAAGATAATAAAATAAAATCATCGTTTAATGAGAAATAATTCTTGATTATCATCAAATCTATTGATGATTATTACGTAATGTATTTTCCTACTTGTTTTCGGAATGTTTCACTCGGAAATTACTTCCTGTTGTTTGAGAATCATTGTTACAAAATCAATCGGCCGTTCTCGATCAATTCTGACACTGTAAATTATATTGCAAGACTTTGATCAGTTTTATAATGGCCAGTCGTGTAGAAAGTGATAAAGTTGAAACAGCGTGCTATAACAGTACACTGTGGTTTGCATCACGTCATCCTAAAAGAGAAAGGGTTTAGTTTTGTTAAGTCGGGCGGCTTTCTATTTGTAAGGCTGATTAAATAATGATTGAGAGTATGCCCTGTTTGTCAGAGATCTACAAAAAATCATTTAATTCTCTTTTATTATTATTTTTTGTCCTGCTTTTGATTAAAATTCAAATATTACTGAGCATCGCTTTATAATACTTTATATTTTATTGAAATGGGTTGAATAGATTACAGTGATGGAAATTTGGACTGTCAGTGGAAATAGATGGCATCAAATTCGCCTGTCAATATAGTTCACATACAAATCAGTCAAAGAATTGTTTCAAGGGTTCTACACCATAAGACCGCTGCACTCACCTCAAAACGAGGAATACATCTAACATCTCCATTCAGCGAACGTTTTTGCTTATTGTTGCATCTATTACATCTTTAGAGTATTGAATACTAGTACTTTTTAAAGTTGTGCGTGTGATACCATGTACATTGCAATATACTGAACGGTATGCAGTTATTGAACCGAATGAGTGGGTTGTATTTACTACAGAAAAATAAAGTCTATTTTGCAAACAATAGCATGTTTTGTAAGATATCTGTTAATATATAAAGAAAAATCGAAAAAGTTGCGCCATGTTTGCCATAAAAGGTTCAACCTCCTTTGGTACGAAATTGTTTTCTTTTATTGAAAAAAAAATCATTGAAACCAGATTAATCATTCTATTTGAAGAATACGGTTTCACAGACTTGAAAGAAATTACTGCAAAGGATGGATCTGAAAGTAATTTGAAAGACTTAACGGAGTCTTTAACTAAAGATAAGAGGAACAAAGGGACAATGTTCTCCTATATGATGAATCTTTTTACAATTAAACTTAACGAATATTTTTGTCTGACATGAAATGTACATTCGTAATGCAAAACTACTGTCAGTCTGCATAGAACTTGAGAATTAATCATTTGAATAATGCATCCATACAAATGGATCATTAACTTTTTTACATTTTTAATACCAGTTTAAATCTTTTGAAAAAGAGAGGTGCAAGATACCAGAGGAACATTCAAACTCATAAGTCGAAAACTTGGGGTCATCTCATGTGCTCCGGAAGGGCAAGCAGATCCTGCTCCACATGTGGCACCCGTCGTGTTGCTCATGTTAGTACAAACAGATTTAATGTGTCCACGTAAACTAATATGGTAGTAATAAGTCTAATTCGGTAGGTCACATTCGGGAAAAGGGGACGGGATTGTAGTTACGTCATTAAGAACATATACGCTATTATCTGTGGAACGGATATTCCATAACGGTCAACCAACTCGTGATGGCGTCCGTAAAACTTACGAATGATGATTTCAACTTCACCACTTGGGACTCTTGGTTTAATAGCCTCCTTGTGAGCAGCAAACCTCTATGAAGGCTCGTTTATTATTATATTCAAATTAATACCGGCGTCACACATCAGCGTATAGCACCGACGTACGCCGGGCTTGGACAAAAACCATGTACGCTGCCAATACGCTAGTAATTTTTGACGCATTCAACTTGTCAATCTTATCTGTATCGTGTGCACAACGAGCTTTTAGCGTGTTTAGGGCGTACGAGAAGCGTACATAAGCATTTATCGGGCGTTGAAGTAATGTTGGCGTATGTCTGGCGTTTGTCTACCGTAGATGAAATACACGTCACGAAGGAAAAACGTCCCTTGAACGCATTTGAGACGCGTGCCCTAAACGTGTCTCAAACTTAATTGTAGCGTTTTTCAACGCGCTTGTAACGTATGTATTACGTGCGTGTAGCGAATAGGTATACGCTTGACATACGCTAGAGCTAGATGAACATTTTTATGTTGCATAAAAATTTCCTGGAGATGTAGCGTTTACCAAGCGTATACCTTTGCATTTCGACGTACTCCAAACTTATGCAACGCGCGTTTAACGATTGCTTAGCGTTCCTCTTGCGTGCACTTGCATGCACCTAACATTTAGTCAATTTAGTGGATTTAGTCAATTTTCTCGGTACGTCTTGTGCACGTCGGTCTATACGCCAATGTGTGACGCCGGCATAAACAGCTTGAGTTGATATCAAGCGATATCCAATTCTCACGCGTATAGAAACCTATAAATAACCAACAAAGTAACAGATAGAAAAAAGGTCAACCAAATCTAGCATACGCACAAAAATGAAATACAGATAGACCAATAATCCAAGGTAATTTAACATTGACATAGTCTTGACCTGCCAATTCGAAAATATCAAAGTTAAAATCCAAAATGAAAAAAAAAACATTACTAGAAATCGGGAAAAATTCTTACATTATTTGTATGGTCCAAGGAAACTAAATATTATCTGCTCAATTAAGTTGTTCGGCGTATTTCTTGGACTATGACTTGTGTTGGGGTTAATATTATATTTGATCCAAC